GTCGGAGGTGCAATGAAGCGTTGTCGGAGTTGCATTGAAGCGCCGGAGGGCCGTTGAAGCTTCGCCAGCATTGCAATGAAGCGTCGATGGAGCTGCAATGGAGCGACGCTGGGCGCCAACGATGCTGCCCTCGGGAGCTTTTGCGTGGTGCTGCCATGGGGAAGCTGCCTCATCTTGCGGCTGAGAACTTCTGAACCGTACGTCTCTAGGAGCGGTTTAATTCTGCCAAACATCATCCGGATGATTTGTACCAGTGGCCAAAGAGAAACCGAACAAAACATTTTAAGACGAGTTTAATTTTAACGACGACCAGAAAAATAGCACGGATCTCAAATTAACCACGGACAGTGGATCCATGAACAAGTACGGGGAGATAAACTACTCTCAGTGAGCTTTTTCCACTTCACCTGTCTTCTTTCCTTGCAGCCGACGCCGTTTGGACTCCTGCTCGGATCCGGTGCCAACTCCACTTCGTCTAGGTTTAACCATCGTCCGTCTATATAAGGCGGCACGCAGCCGCGGCCTCCACAAACCACCCGCAACTCGTCCACCTTCTCTTCCGGCCTCTTGCCATCACATGCACGCATCATCTACATCCCGCATGGAGGCGATCCCAAGCTAGAGGGGTGGTGATGTCGCCGTCGTTCTTCCCGAGCACGTCGGGCTCCGACGCCGACGCCTGCGAACGCAACGGCTTGCCACACGCGGTCAAGAAGATGTGGACCAAGACAGAGGACGACCTGCTGCGGGAGCAGGTGCGTCGGTGCGGCGGCCCGCACAACTGGGACGCCATCTGCCGAGGGCTGCCCGGCCGCAACTCCAAATCGTGCCGCGTGTGCTGGTGCCAGCACCTCGACCCCAGGGTGGGGGCCGTCAAGCCCTTCACCCCTGAGGAGGACATGCTCATCGTCAAGTACCAGGACACATACGGCAACCGCTTGTCCACCATCGCCGAGTTCCTCTCCGGCCGCACCGACAACGCCATCAAGAACCGCTGGAACTCCGTCCT